TCAATTTGTTATTTAATGTCGACTACATTTTTAGGATTATTTTGTTTTACGTCATATCAGAGTCAATGGGTTATTTAATGCAGACAAGATTTGTAGGTTTATTTTGGTTTATGGGTGTTGTGGATTCCGGGATGAAATCCGGTACCAATAACTAACAAACGCCAGGAAGGAATATAAGAAAAATAGTGTATTCACGTAATAAGACAAACTAGTAATGCAGGTTAGTAGTTCCAGGAATACGGGTTAGTAGCAAAATATCTATATAGTCTTTGGTATTGAAGTATCGTTGTATGACTTCTTACTGAGTCTACGTGCTCGCTCACTGTGACTCTTGCTGGCTACGTTCGTTCTGTCTGTCTGTTACCTTCACCCTCGGTTGCTCTAGTTCTCGGGTCTTCACGTAGCAGTAGTATATGTATATACTGGGTGAGTCCATTTGTGTAAAAAGGGGGGAGGGTTCCTCAAAAATTGGATAACTACGTCAATAGATTATTTCATGCTGATAAGATATATAGATTTATTTTGTATTGCGAGATATCTACGTCAATGTAATTTTCTTAACGCCGAAAAGATTTTAGGTTTATTTTGTTTTACGCCATATCAACCTCATTGGTGTATTTAACGCCGACAAAATTTTTAGGATTTTCTTTTCTACGGATAATCAACCTGAATGTGTTATTTAATGCCGAAATAATTTTCGAATAGTTTCATTGGAATAGAATATATATTTGTTGAAACTTGACTAATGCATGGAATAATAATACAACACAAAATGTACTTGAAACAAGAAAGGTACACAATATTTACATATAGTCTTTTGTATATTCTTGGGAAGACCGTTCCTGGAGAATGTGTTGACTTTGTCGCAGTCGGGCAGAGTCTCTGGATTGAATCTCTTGATTCCTCCCCTCGTCTTCCCGGTACCAACCATATTTATATGGTCGGTACTCCACTATGCAAATTAGGTGGATCCTACCACAACAATATTCTTTGTAAGTCATTTCGGTATTTTTGTAAAGCCGTTTTTTGATAGGGATCAGAATTAAGAGCTATTATATTTTTGAAAGTTTTATTGCAGATATTTTTACTATAGAAGTGTATTTTATACTTTCATAGATTTTAGATACAAGATTGGGTGTTAACTATTTGCCGATAGAGGGCATCATGGGAACAAGAGCAATTAATAGGTGTTTTCATGAGCCTAAAAATCACTCTATCAGAGGTCCTTTATTAAAATTTAGGTGCTTGAATATCCCATTGGTCCTTGAGAGGAAATGATCATAACAGTTTAAATCGGGTTTGAAGCCAGCTTGCCAATAACATAGATATTTATTTGTCGCCAATAAAGTAAAGCAAAAACGACTGAGGAAGGAAATGATGGTAGGTGATAATATTGGTTCTCAGTGTAAAGTCGTCGCCAGTAGGTGAAGATCATTGCATTCATCATCTGGTGATTCGTGACGTGTAGTGGCTTCTTTTAATTAAGGCATCTAAAAAAGACGTGTGCTTTGATCACGTCAGGATATTCAATATATTAGAATATTTAAATATATAATGCAATAATATTCGAAAGAATATAGTTGTTTTCAGAGAGAAAAAATGACTCAGATACAAGGCAGGGAGACAAAGACAATAAATTCAACCATGAATAATATGCTATCATCTAATTTGATGGCTACACTATCACTCACGCACACACAGACACAAACTCATTGATTATATATATATATATATATATATATATATATATATATATATATATATATATATGTATGTATATATGCAAGAGTAGCAAATATAAATATATAAATACATATATGCACTTTTATATATATATATATATTTGACGTATTCAGAATCATATATATATATATATATATATATATATAAATTTATATGTGATACTATAATATATATCTAACTGTATGATATATATATATATATATAATGTATATATATAACAGTAGCTTATATATATATAAATATATATATATATATAT